TCCTTATGACAAAAATGTTATTCAGCGTCACAGTTTCGATCCGTTAGCCCTGAAAAGATGGGAAGAACATAAAGGCATCACCACCCATATAACTGCTAATAATTCTACCACTACTGATCTTTCCACAACCGCAGGACAGCCAGATATATGCCAGCCATCAACTAGCACCGCACATCAATCCCAACCATCTACAAGCACAGTTCAAGAGAAAGCTAAGGTTCCATTTGAGAAATTCTACTGGCTACTTTAAAACCTAAGGCATCGGCACAAGAGCTAGAAAAGAAACCAAAAAAAAGAATAGCTGGAGGAGCCGAAATTATTACGAGAGAAGACGTCTTCCAGCGTTTAAAAGAAAAAGAAAGTGACACCAAAAAAATAAAAAAGAAAAAGATACAAGAGCCTGTTGTTTCCGCAGATAGCGAAGCTGATATTGCTGATAATAATATTACTTATGATGATGAAAGTAATGAATATGAGACGTTTGATCAGTTTGTGGAGAATGAGAAGCAGTTACAGAGGGACCAATTTTATTCCGACAGGCAAGTTTCAGAAAAAGCTGTGGGTGATTGGATTCTCGTGAAATTTGCTGGAAAGAAGTCCATTAAGTATTATGTCGGTCAAGTACTACAAGGAAACAACATGGTGAAATTTGCCAGGAAAAAAAAGATCTTAGACAAAAAATCTGTCTTTAAGTTTCCGGATATAGATGACATTTCTGAGGTGGATGACCCGGATATTATAATGCTGTTGCCTCCTCCCACCATCGAAAGAAGAGGCCAAATCTCTTTCCAAGTCTCATTTGATGGGTATGACATACAATAAAGCATTTGTCTTCTTATATTATGTTCATTTACATTGAAAATAAATGTAAACAATATTTGGCGTGTTGTTTCATTTTCACGTTTGGGTTGATATCTCGGAAACTAATAAAGATATCCATGTTCTGCAAAATCGAGAAAAAAGGTAAAATTTAGGGTAAGGCGCAGTTGCCCCGGTTTGCCGCTGCTTGCTATCAGATTCGTTTTAGCTATAGGAAACGCACTTGCCCCGGTTAGCGGGGCAAGTGCGCCCCTATGACATTAAAAAAAAAAAAAAAAATGTCATCCACTATAAAACGTAAATATATGATGTTTAATAACAGATTTTACTTGAATATATTACCAAGTTGCCATATAAAAATACACAACACGAAAACTCATATAGGTACATTTTGAACATCAATTAATTCTGAACCCATTAATTTAGGGGGTGCGCTTGCCCCAACTGACCTTATCTCCGGTCGAGTTTTATGGAAAATTAACTTGATTCGTGTATGAGGCGTTTCAAGGAAACCGTTGCTATAGTCGATCTTAGCTTGCAACAATTTGAGAGTATCAAGTCCTATTAAGCCATCAAATACGTTGTGAAATTTGAATAAATAAAACTTTAATTTTTTGGATGACTGACTGTTGGAGTTGAAAATTCGCGATGTTGGCATCGTCGCACTAAATTGATGAGATGATTGTTGAAATATTGTTGATACTATGAACGGATCATATGATATATGATTGGGAAAATATTTTTGGGCCAGGTCGGAGTCAATGAATGATTTCGTGGACCCACTATCGATTAAAAATTTTAAGTTATTTTCTGGGAATGTTATATACGATAACTCGCTGGTCTTTGTATTAATATAGGATATTATTTGTGGTTCTAGGTTATTCTTGGTTCTGTAGGCAAGTATTGGGAAAATTCTAATCATTTTGAGGTGATTGGACCTCGTCATTTTGATCTATAAAATTTTCTGATTCTTGGTTTGATGATTGAGCGTCATCAGTTTGTTGGTAATAGTTATTATATTGAGATAGGTCATAGTTTTCAGTGTATGTTTCACCATTATTGGTTTGGTACACAAAGTACGAATTTGGCTCATCCAAAATGTCTGTGTTGTGGAGTTCCTCGAATGTGAAATTTGGTGGTCCATTAGTGCGCGATTGGAAATAATTATAGCGTGGTTGGTTGGAATTAGGATATTGATATTGTTTGGGCAAGGTATTGTGCGAAGTGGTGCTTATTGGGGTTAGTTTTGGCAGCGGTTTGTTTGGATCTGATTTGAAGGCATGTACATGGGGCCTTTTCCCAAAAACCTGTGAATTGGTTGGGAATTTTTGCTGAGCTTTGTTATAGTTCGGTCTCACGAAGATTGGTTGTGATGGGAATGCGTGAAAGTGTGTGTATTGAGCAGATGTATTGAAATTTTGTGCTTTTGATTGATGTGCTTATTGAGCAGATGTATTGAAATTTTGCGTTTTTGGCTTATTTTGAAAATATTGAGTGTTACTTTCTTGCGTAACAAACTGTAAGGCTTCAGGCAAATCTTTTGGCCTCATGCAACGAATCGTTGTGCCTAATGGCTCTTTGAGTCCGGATAAAAATGTTTTCCGAGCAAGATTATTATAAAGGGTTCTTTCATCTACTTCGTGTAAATCTACGTAAGAACATAACAAATTCAAAATATGTAAAATTCGGTCGTAGTACTGATTAGGGTTTTCGTTATTATTTTGCCTAAGCATAACGAGGTTTTAAGACAAGCCTCATCTCTTTGGTCAGCAAAATACCTACCCAAGATAAGTTTTAATTCGTTCCAACTATTAACATTTTGGGTACCAAGAACAAGTTTAGCATTACCTGTCAATTTTCCTATAATACAATTCAACAAATAAACATTTTGAAAGTGGTTTGGCTCATTGACATTGTACAAGGTGTCAATAAGACTCTGACAAACTGCTAAATATCTGTTTGGGTCATTTGGATTGCAGTCAAAGGTCGGCACACAATTCAAATATTCAGGTCTAAATGAAGTAGGCATTATTGATATATTACTGTTTACAGAGTTTTGTTGATTATTGTCAATTATCGATTCTACTCTGCCTTCAGCACTATTTTCTGTATTATTTAAAGTTTGTTTGATTATTCTAATTACTTCTTCAGATTGAGAAGCAGAGTCAGTTGATGGTGATAAATTATCTATACGCAAATTTAAGTTACTTAATTGATCAATAATATCATCAATATTGGACATGAATACGATCAATTGCACTACTTACGCGCTCAGTATGATGAATATCCTCATTATATGCCAAGAGTCTTAGTTAGCGATGCTGGTCCTTCCAAAGACTGCTTGATCTTGCGAGAAATGACGATGATGTTCAAATCTCCACTTATTGTAACGTATAAGATCAAAGTTTTTAGCAAGCGATTTTTCTCACACAAACGTCTCTGTCCTCGCGAAAATTGGCGATTTAGTCCAATTTCCCGCACTGGTGTTTTAGTAGTGTTCACGATGAACTCTGATAACCGATGTTAGATTATTAGCCACTATCCACACAGCAAACAAACTTAGAGCTAGTCCTAATTTTTCGCGTCAACGGTTCAAATTCTTGTCGAAACCGAACCGAAAAGTACCGAAAAATATCCTACCGACACACTGCGCCAGTTAACAAGTCGATAGCCGAGAATTGCTTTTCAAAAAAACTTTATTTTAACTTGCTAACAATATTTAGATAAAAATAAGAATATTAATTATAAATTGAATGCTTTCAACTGACTGACTGTAAATCTAAGCTGAAAAGCTTTTATGACAATATAAAGTTAAAGTCAGCAAAAAAAGTGATTAGTCGGTATCACTTCTTCTGGCCATTTAACTCATATTTTAACTAATTTTCATGTTTTGAAAAGTATTAATGCTGCTCAACTCAAGTTGGAAATTTGAAAACAATCTCAAAGAAAATTACCTATCTGCTAGTGGTCGTTCCATCATTTGTTAAAGACAAAGAGTAATCTTTCAGCAAGAATCCTGTTATTTTGGTAAACGTTTGTCAAATAAATTGATTGCTTGTCCTTTGTCCGTTTTCGTTCTTTACGTATCGACACTTTTTAGTAGATTTATCACTTTAACCAACACACATTTTGTATTTCTTCAAGAAAACAATAAAATCAGCATTCTGAATCGACAAAAAAAAAAAACGATTTATTCCGAAAATGTTGGTAGCTTTACGGTTTGTTCAATACTGAATAAAGATACAAAGAACATGTTCAGAATTTTTTCTATAAAAAATTATAGTATTTTGTGTATTTAGGTGGAAAAGTGACACATTCTCGGCCGACGGTGAAAGTTGACGGGCGAGGCGTAGCCGAGGCTGGCAAACACCGAAGGTCGAGAATGTGCTTTTCCACCGAAATACACATATACTATTTTTTCTGCGATCGGTTAAATATCTGTTAAATGTTTGTCTTTTTGTTCCAATAATTCAGCAGTACGAGAATCACTTTCCCGGCCTAGGCCGGGAAAGTGATTCTCGTATTGTTATTCATTGATTTCTTAGCAACTATTGAAACATGATTAAAATACCAGAATATTGAGTTTTGCGACCTGTCAACCGGTCAAAAATGCTGACATTTCTTGTCAATCGCAGAAAAAATATTTCCAAAATGTCGTTTTACCATCAGCCATGTTGAAAAGATGTTTTTAAAATATTTTAATATTGTTTTTGAAATATTAGACAAAATATCCAATAACCGTTTTCAAAGTATATTTGGATAGTATAAAATAAAATCTATCATACAGATGATAATAATTTTAATAGAACGTCTTAAAATTTTCTTTTTTTTTTTGTCGTTGATGTTTTGAGAATATCTTTTGAATATGACGATAACTGATGAAAAAAAGTGATACCATAGGCCTACTTGATATCTTTTTAAAGACCGCAAAAGCTGTATCAGCACAAACAAAGGCAAGTGCATAGATAAACAATTTCTACAGTGTCCTTTATTTTTTTCCTTTTTGCCTCTATACGAAATAATGAAGTGACTTCGAACCGCAAAACTGTTAAACAAGTCAAGAGCCATTTAGTTCCATTAAAACAAGAGGTCATAAAACGGAAGTAGAAGTTAATGGGTTTGTGAATGACTCAAGAACAGGCGATTTTGTTTCTACGCTGAGAGAAAGTTACAACTGCAACTTAGTCCATATATAGTAACTTTTTATTAAAAAAAATCTATTATATAATTTAGTTGAAATCCACCAAAGGCCATGTCTTCAAAATTTTCCTCCAAACCTCCAAGCGATTAACCTCTGGTGGAACTGTCATTTTACTAATTTTTCCAATATCATAGACTTTTATGTTATCCTTTTGGACGGGTTCCCACGCTTCGCCGGATTTGGTATTTTGTGTGGGATTTCCATGAATGGCAAAATTAGTCCAGAGTTCAACAAAATGTCTTATTGAACAATCCTCCAAACTGTCTGGAGTTACAGGTGGTGTTATGTCCGCGGAAAAGAGGTATCCTAGCTCGTCTCCATGGCATACGCCTTGAAAAATTGTAATTTTAAATGAAACAAGTTAGGTTTAAAATTAGTCACCAAATTCGTGTGTCCGATTCATTAGATATTTTAGTCGATTTAATTCCCCCGTCAATGACACTCGGTAAAGATAAATTGGTTTTGTTGCACTTTTTAGGTGAAGTTTTAAACCTTCCATGATGCCAACTAGGAAATAGCCATCAGTCATTTTCTACAAAAAATATTTTTATGTTATGTAGATACACATAATTAAAATTGGAAATACCGATAGAAAAATTACAATAAATACACTATATACTCACATCATAGCGATCGCTATCAGGTTTATCAGAATATAATTTCCATAAAATATCACGAATGATTCCGCTTTCGTTGCTGCCTTTAGAAATATTGAGCTCATGTGGAATAATATTTTCAAAACTGAATTTCGGCAATGTTATTCCAGCTTTTTCGGTGGCCCGCCTATCAGCATCGAGCAACATTCCCTCGTTTTGCGTATATCCCATCATTATCGGTACGTCATTATGGTGTTTGTTCATCAAAGCTTCGATAGGATTTTCTGTTAGGAAGGCAGAATCATTTGGAAGTTCTATTACAGCCGCAAAAGGCCTTCTCTCAGATGGATATGGCGACTTAAAATAAAATGTGACTTATTAGGATTCATTAAATATTGAACATTTAGTTTAGATCAACGCATATTTGCATTGCCAAACTTATTTGTACAAATGTAGACAAATGTAGAAAAGTCCAGTCACTTACATCGTATATTTTCTGTTGAGCTTCAAAAATATCCAATGCTGACATGTTCCTTAAAATACCTAAAGCTTCTTGATTTGTACTGGCTATTTTTCCAGTTTTACTTATCAATTCTACGGCCATATTTTTGGCTCCCCAAAACCAAGAATTTATTGCACTACCACTTTGCATGATAGCCTTATGAAACAATCCATTGGAAGCAGGCGACAAAACGTGAGCGTGCACAGACGCACTTCCTGCACTATGACCGAATATAGTGACGTCATTCGGATCCCCGTTAAAATGTTGAATATTTTGTTGCACCCATTTTAGAGCCAAGTTTTGATCTTTAAGGCCCATATTGCCGAATACACCCAGTTTTGGATCGTCAGAATTCAAAAAACCTGAAATGATGCCCAAGATTAGGTATTGTTCGTTGAACCAGTTAACCATCTTACTAACCAAGAGCTCCTATCCGATAATTGAAAGTAACCAGAACGATATCTTTAAGCATAAGGAATTCAGGTCCATATATTCCAGGTCTACTAGATCCAGCAGTTAAACCTCCTCCATATATAAATACCATTACAGGTTTGAGTGAGGTATTATTTTTCGGCAACTAAAAATAAAAATATTTAAATCAAAATAAAGTCTTATCGTTGTCCTTTTTAGTTTATCAGTGACTCCTGAACTCTATCGATTATGTAATAAAATACACTAGCGCAAATCTTTTGTCCCTTATTTTTCGTACTACGGTAATAATTTTTTTATGGGCCTTTTGGGACACTCATTAGAATCAATTAATTGAAGCAATCTAGTTTAAAGTAGCACTGGAACTCCTACTGGTTATTACAATATCCGATCTGATGACGCTTCTATTATGTGGAAAACACTGTAATTTTGATCATGAGATGAGAGCATGGATTCAGAGCTAACCACTGAACCACTAGATTGTGGATTGTAGATTGCATTTGGAGTCGTCAACTCAGTGGCGTGTCCAGACTTTAACAGACGGGGAAGCTGTGCGAAAAGATGGTGAAAGTACAGGACAGGAGAGACTTATAAATTCAGAATCAGTCAGCCATTCACAAGTTTCATATATTTCTTTTTGAAAATGTCTACATAAAGTTTAGTTTGGTGTTCTTAATAAATCCTCGAGGGGAAGCTGTGCTTCCCTAGCCCCTGTGATTCCTAGACCGATTAGCCTTTGTATTTTACGTAGACTGTTCCAATGTAACATTTCTGGTCTTATCCCCCATGTATTGAACCACTTACTCTATTACAAACCATTCTGGGCATTATTTTGATATTTTTTTAACGGTACTGAGTCAATACTAAAAGAGGGTTTTTTGCAAAAAAATAAAAATAAAACAAAATGCGGAGAATTTATAGCAGGGGATGTTGGAAAGGCAGGACAGAGATTTTTGAGTGATATGCAAGACTACCATGATGAGTTCGAAGCTGAGCAAGAAGACTACGTAATCAGGATACAGAGTCACGTGTCAGAAATAATATCGTTTCTTAGGCAATGATCATCTGAAAAGAAATGGACTGTCATAAATATAAATACCCATGTACGTACATTTTTGGTGAATACATTCAAGTACAAGCAATCTTCGTCTCCCACTATTTTCGTTGGTTGAAATTCATCTCGGGAGAGACAATCACTTCCGACGTTGGAGGCATCTCGAATTCCTTTCCATGGGTCAGCTGATACGGGAGGCTGTGCAAGTAATAGCTATTTATATAACAAGTACATAAAGTAAGGCTTTATTGTACGAATAATTTTATGGCCGAGCGAGCTTGCGAGCGAGGCTATTAAATAATGAGTCAATAAAGCCTGTTTATGTAAGCGTTATATAAATGATTTTATGTACGATTACGACTGGTTTTCGTTAAAAATTAAAAAAATCTAATGAAAAAAGTAAAATTCGCGTAGGTATACCCGTTTCACCTTGCCAGGTTGTCAGGACCTGTTTCACCTTGGCAGGTTGTCAGAACCTGTTCAACCTTGTCAGGTAGTCCAGGTAGGCAATAAAGTGGCACTTTATTTTACTAGTAAAATAAAGTAGCACTTTATTTTACTAGTACAATAAAGTGCTACTTTATTGACGCAAAACTGTTCTATAAATAGCACTTTATTGGTCAATCGGACATAAAAAAGAGTTATTAAGTCTAAAATACGGGATACGTTGGTTGTTTAAGAAATTTAGACCATAATATGCAGAATTATTATATAAGCCATAAGGGATGAATAAAAAATGCTTACCAGGAATCTAAGATCATTTATAGGAGGTTTAGCATAGGGAATACCGAAAAATTTGTAGAAATCATCTCCATCGTAATTCTTTCCAATTGTACCTTTGAGTGATCCATCCTGTAGAGTGACAATAGGATCCGCCAATTGTGTACTTTCACTAAAAATGAAATTTCATTGCATATATACAGTGTCATTACTTAAGTGTGCAACATATGGGATTTTTTTTTAGTAATAGCACAATCAAAATACAAACAAGTCCAAAAGTTGGTGCATGTCTGATATTCATATTAGGTGCACTTAGAATGGTTGCAAGTCAAACAGCATACAGGGTGGCTCAAAAAATATCAAAATTCTACTAATATTTACTTAAATAAAATAAAACTTTTGCACTTTAAGGAGAGTTCTTTTGATATAGCTATTATCATTAGTAATGTTTTAATTTGTTAAAAAAAAAATTGCGACATTTTAAAGTTGTGTTGAATATCATTGCAACAAACATGAATTTTGTGATTCCATAAAAAATTAAAAATCTAAGTTAATTTTACAAATATGCTTGAAATTGAACAACGTTATGTAAAATTGATTTGATTTTAATCAATTTTTGAAAGTATTAAGGGCGGAAATAAAAAATAAAATAAATATAGAAATTATAGATTTTTTTCCAAAAAAAATAAAAAAATCTTAGGAGGCTATGTTTTGGTATTTAGGCATAACTTTTAATTCCAAACAACTTTTCTCTATAACATTTTGCTGAATTTTCTAAAATAAGGGTACTTTACAATACAGCTTTGATATTGTTTGAGCTACCCTGTATGCTGTTTGACTTGCAACCATTCTAAGTGCACCTAATATGATTATCAGACATGCACCAACTTTTGGCCTTGTTTATATTTGCGTTGTGTTATTACTAAAAAAAATCCCCATATGTTGCACACTTAAAAAATCACACTGTAGATGCCGGAATGCCAAATTAGGTATAGTGGCCATGAAAATGTGATTTATTATGAATAATATGCACAATAATGTATAATCTGAAAACAGATTATTAATTATTATGAGGAAAACCACCTATTTGAAATATTATTTCTTCAAATTTTAACTTTTTTAAAAACGTTTACTATAAAAAAAAAGCAATTAATGGTAAATGTTGCAACCTTGTATGCGCTGTGAAATTGATGGAAACGGCGGCGCGCCATGGAAAAAAGTACCGAAGGGTAGAGAGAAGAGAATGGGAGACTAGCGAAGAAGCTTGTCCCTTAGACCGTTTGTCCGCCATTGTTCATTATTCAATTTCTATTCTGTGTTAAACTGATTGTCCAATCGAATTTGTGATAAGTTTGTGTGTCATGAACATTCACTGGTCAGTTGAATAATAGTTATTTATCTACGCCAGTGAGTTAAGAAGCTCTTAACTCACGCATTTCGAGTGAGTTAAGAGCTTCTTAACTCACGCATTTTCATTACCGCACCCAGTGAGTTAAGAAGCTCTTAACTCACGCATTTTGAATGAGTTAAGAGTTTCTTAACTCACGCATTTTGATTACCGCACTCTTTCTTAGGTTTTTGAAACTATAGTGACATCAATATTATTTACTATCAAATTGATATGAAACCATGCATGGTTTTATCGTGTTTCCATGGTAATTTGGTCAAGTTTATATTGTTATTTGAACAAAAGGTATTGAGGTGATTCAGGTAGCTGGTTTTTAGAATAGGTAATACAATTAATATTGAAATTAATTTTTTTTGTGATTTTGAAGTTAAGAGCGAATAGCGTAGATAAAATATTGTACAATACACGTGAGTTAACCCTCATTAAGATACTTGTGTGGTTACACAACTCGTGCTACGTACTCGTTGTGCAACTTCCACACGCGTATGTTAATGATGCTGTTAACTCACTTGTATCGTAAATATCTATTGTGGTACTAGTGTGTTATGTTGAAAATAAATCACGCGACGAAAATTTATATAATCTCACGAGTGACTTAGAAAACATCACACGAGTAGTATACAAGAACTGAAGAAACTAACAGTTATTTTTTTGTGGTCTTCTCTAAAGCAGGATTTATAATTTTCTGTTTCCTGACGTTCTGCGTTGACGTTATAGGAGAGTGAGTTATAAACCATAACCCACTGATGGGTTATGGTTGTTACGATAAATTTATCATTTACGTAACATGTTCCATCTCTTCTTATTTTCATTATAGAGTTGTTTTTTTTTTCCATTTCAGAATCAGCAAAATAATAATTCCTATTAGGGAGTTTTCGTTGCTTACAAAATGCGAATACGGTTAACGCTATTTGACAACTTTGACATTCGAATCTCATTTGTCGTATATCGTAACCGCTGAATGCCGGTATTGTACGGACGGTAGACATAGCCGCTAACGTAGCGAAACGCATGCGCAGTACACGAATACAAAAATTCATAACCTTGTTTCAGGTGACAAGTTGTCAAGTTGACCCAAAACACACCCAAAAGCTTCCAAAAATGGGTACCAATATAAACTTATACAGTGTAATATTGAAAATAATGGAAAGAAGCATAAGAGTTCGTTTTACAGAAGAAGGTGACCAAATTTCAGTAACTTTACTAACCACCTCAGAAAAATACAAATTCCTGGGATTTTATGTGGACGCTTTGTATTAAACTCGTTTAAAATTCTGAGTACTTTCTACAAATCTGAAGATATGGTTTTTTTCGAACCGAAAATAAACTTTATACTCGTTTGCTGACCATACATCTAGGTTGAACCTCCCCTAAAGATCGCCTCTGTATTTCATGTTGTTTTCCAACACTTCCAACAAGATTGCCTCTTCAAAATCAGAATCTGAATCATCCCTGAAGTCCAATAAAACCAATTCGTCTATCATTTTGTAGCAAAATGTACTGAAAAACAGTAGTACAGTAAATCTATATGAGAACCAAACAAAAACAAGATCTACAAAAACCAAATTAAAACGAGGCTGGGGGCTACGCTGTCAACTTTACTTGATTTTTTTTTGGGGTTATATTTATAGTTTACGGTAACGGTAAGCGGGTGCCGTTTCTTGCTCCGAAAACTGTTTTTTTTTAATCTATTAAATAGCGGCAATGGCTACGTATTCGTTAACCATAGCGTTGAAGTTTTCAAGAGCAACGAAAACTCCCTAATATTCTAAAAATATCCACAAAGTTCAAAATAATACAAGTGCATCATGTGCGTAAAATGCAAATATCTATTGAATGAAGTTACTGTCATCTAGTACCTGATGGATTTATTTTTCAAAGTATTGCTGCGTTTTTATTCTCATCAAATTATACCGATGGATCCACCATTCTGTAACGTAGGTTACTAAATTTTTATTGTTTTATCCGCGTTTCCGTTAATTAAATTAATTCCGTACCGATATGTTGTGTCGACGCGTGACCTCGAATGCAAAGCACTCTCCAGTATAAACCGACGTGCGCGCCGCGTTTCAAAAACTCGATTCCCCACCGCTGGTATCTGCGCTGCCGTCTGACGACGACGTGACGCGGCGCCTCCCGATTATTTATACGGCAGCACACACTGCAGTCGGCCACTTCTCTCCGAGCTCCGATTCCGACCAGACCTACCGACCAGCACCAGCCGCCAGCTACAAGCAATGTAAGTCCGTTTTATCCGCCGCCGCCGCCGCTTGCCGACGTCAGCACCGTCGCGACGCCAGATGAAGGCTCAGTAAGTAATAGGTATGGGTAAGAAGGCAGGTATTCTCTCTCTCACACTGCAAGAACGGAACTACGGGTGGGAACACGTACTGGGTAGCTCTGTTCTTGTAGTGAAAGACCTAAGGGGGCTACGGGCTGGAATACGTACAGGGTAGCACTCTTCTGTCTCGATTGATGGATAGAGGAAACGAAACCACGGGTGGGAACACGTACTGGGTGGTTTTGTTTCCTCTATGGGAAGACAAAAGGGGGCCACGGGCTGGAACACGTACAGGGTGGCACTCTTTGTCTCACACTTCTTCTGACTTCATATTCCACGGGGACCTGCTTTCTGCCTATTGTTAAATTCACGCATGCGCCATAGGGCGCTGATCCGAGTTGCTGACGCCGGTAAGAGTCGGACCGTACAAACCATAATTCCGGAGCTTCTTGCCTGTTTCACCGCACCGTCATTGTTTACCGCACCGTCATTTTTACCGCACCGTCATTGTTTACCGCACCGTCATTTTTACCGCAACGTCATTGTTTACCGCACCGTCATTTCTACCGCACCGCCATTTTCACCGCCGCGCTATACCAGTCCGCACCGTCACGCATATCACTCCGTCTCTCTCTCATACTCGTTCACACACTCTCTCTCTCCGGGTTAAGCATTTCATTTCAATAAATCCGCATCTTAATTAGGTTTTCTTGCATTTCCTTTCTATTGTTATTTATTTGGGCATTAATAAAAAGTGCATTGTTGGATATTATGTGTTTCATTTTGGGGAAAATGCGCATCGACCTCTGGTTTTTCCGTCTCCACTGTTTAAAAGCTACCTAGTGCCCGTGGGCCCTTAACCACATTAATCCTAAGGGTGGCGCCCGAGTTTTCCGAAAACCCCGAACCGACCGCTTTCTTACCGGAAAACCAAAGTAGCGCTACAAATTTGGCGCCCGAGCAGGGACCGTTCTGCGCATGTCCATGATTTCAGCACATGACCGATGTGATTACGTCACCAGCAGTCCCGTTACACCGAGAGGCCGTTTGTTTCGGCGATGACCGTTGGTTGTCCGTTACCGTACCGTTTCTTTTGGTGATTGCCAGACCGCATATTGCCAGAGCAAATGCACCGCTCTTTTTGGGACCGTTCCGCGCGTGCCTTCGCATCCGCCCCATGAGTTGAGAGTCTCAACCAATGCCGTCCGACCGACCGTGGAAAAGAGTTCCTGTACACCGTACCGCATTGGACCGGAGGCCTCCGTTTTTGGGAAGTATTGTTACGCATGCGTGGACCAAAATTCGAGCAACTGCCTCCTTACCAGTAATCCACGGTCGCTGATTTCAGTTTCTCCATCCGTAAATTTTCTCCCTGATGTAGTGAGACACAATCCAACCGTCCGCCGCCAGTTTTCACGAAAGCCCGCCGTCCGAACACCGATCAACCTATACCGAACCGCTTTTCCGCCCGATTCATTTTGCG